CTAGAATCTGAATAATGATTCTTAAATGTGAGCAATGCATTTCTCTCTCTCTCCTCCCTCCCTTAATACATAGCGTTTTTATCATCCTTAAGACAAAGTAGCTGGCAAAATATTTAAGCGATACGAAAGAAATGTTTTTATTTGTCCGCGTGCGAATTGGGTTATCTGCCTATCTTGTTTATGAAATTTGGGGCTGCCTCTCCTGCAGTCTGTTCTGCTCTCAAATCTTTCCCGGCCCCCATTTCCATATTTCTGCGTGCATGTTCTTTGTTAATCACTTGGCAAGCGCTTATTTGAATATTAAAAATTTCTTTAATCATCAAAGGCAGGAGCACAGTCTCATGAATATTCATATTTTTCCCCCTCCTCAGACTGGATTCTAGTTCATTACCCTGCAGTAAAAGCCAAACAGCCATCAATCGCCCTCATTACAGGCTCTGGCGTTTTGATTGGCTGCCTGCTGCCCAGAGCTTTTTTTTTTTTTAATTTTTATTTTTTCCTCTTCTCCTATGAGCTGTCTTGTACCTGCCAACAACCAAAAAAAAAAAAAAAAAAAAATCAACAATGCAAGAATAAATTTCTCTGCTTGAAAAACAACTTTGCAAACTTGTCAAACAGTCCTCGCAGCTCGCTGCTGCCGAAGCGGCCACCAGTGCTACCTGCCCCCCTACAAAAAAAAAAACAAAACAAAACCCAGGAAAAAACAGGGTGGGGGGAGAGAAAAAATTAAATAAATAAATAAAAAGGGAGAAACTTGAGCCTCAGAGATGAATATTTGTCAAGAGAGTTGACGTAAGTTTCATTTGCATAATGACTTTGTACTTCTGCATTAATAAAATTTGCATATGAAGCCATGTTAATTACTCCTGATCATGCTTTTTGCATTCATGCATAGTAATTTTCTCCGACTTGTGAGAATTAATGTCTTGGCATGGGGGGAGGGGGCGCGCGGATTGTCAGGATTCCTTGCCAGTGGCCCTCACTCACAGGCGCTCGCTCCCTGTCTGTCTCCCTCCTTGATCTATGACTCATTTTTGCACTATCAGTAGGAGGTCTTGGCTTAAAAAATGTATCAATTGAAAGACACCAGTAGGGAGAAAAATATACATCTCCTGCACAGTGTATTCCAGGCTCCTCTCTCTAGCTAGGAGTCTGTAACCCTCCCATGTGGGAGGGGACGCCCGAGGATTCAGCGTCGGGAAAGGCTTACATTCCCCTCAAAACCAGGCTGGGGCTTTTCCAGGCGTGTTTTTGTGTCTCCACGCCAGTCAGTGTGGGCGTGCTCGCCAGGGTAGTGCGCATGTGTGGGGAATGGAGCAGACACATCTGCAGGACCCATCCAGAAGGGAGACAGGTTACAGACCCCCTCCGAACGAATGCATTAAAAATTACCTGATACCCTGATTTGGAGCTTAAGAAACATTTCAGGTGTCTTATTTTTGCACTTTTTTGTACCTCCTTGTACTAGATGCATAGAGTGAGATTCTGACCCCGATGAGCCAGCCGTGTGGTCCTGGGCCCCAGCCTCAGTTTCTTCATTTGTGAGAGGGGAGTCATATTACCTACCTTGTGGGAAGGCTGCTGGGCTGCAATGAGATGATATATGTATTCATCGTTTATTTCTTTTTCCCTAATGAAAGTGAACTTCCATGTTAAGGAATCGAGCCAACCAGGGTTTTATTTTTAAGCCACCTGGATCCCGCATAAAGCTGAGATGGCGTCTTGGCGTCCCTCTGCCACATACCTCGGTGCACGTGCGTCTGTTCCGATTCCAGAGGGGAACCTGCCTACAGCTCAAAAGAAAGTATTTTTTAAAGGAGTGCCTTGCTGGGCTTTATCAGGTGCCTTCCTGAGCTCAGAGCCCCGGATGGACATTTGACGTTCGTGGTCAGGCTGTGATGCCTTGGGGAGGACCCTTAGGGAGTAGGAAAAGTTCCAGAATGGAAAGTGAATGAATGACGGTGACCCGTTATTGAGTGTTTACTAGAAGCCAGGCTCGTCCTGACCTTCCTTTACAGGCGAGGCTCTGAGAACGGGACTCACTCCAGGTCACGAAGCCAGGAAGTGGCAGAGGGGAGATTCGAACCCAGGCCTCTGGCTCCAAGGCTGCGTCTGGGCTCCAGACTTCCTGTGCATGTATAAGTCTCTCCTCACAGGGTCGCAAGTGCTCTGTCAAGTGTGTTCTGGATGCCCTGGCTGCACTTTTGAAGGCAGACACCCCTTTCTTCAGGAGGAGTAAGGGCTGGGAGGTAGCCTGGGATAGTCAGAGACCTTGAGCTTTTTTAGAAAAAAAATTGAGATAAGATTCACATGATGTAAAATTCACCATTTTAACCAGTTTTAAAGTGTACAATTAGTGGTTTTGAGTATATTTACAATGTTGTGCAGCCATCACCACTACCTAATGCCAGAACCTTTTCATCACCCTAAAAGAAACCCTGTACCCATCAGCCCTCATTCCCACTCCCCCAGCCCCTGGCAGCCATTCATGTGCATTCTGTGTCTCTGGATTGGCCTGATCTGGACACTTCCTGTGCGTGGAATCCTACAATAGGTGGCTTTTGTCATTCCCTTCGGCTTTTGCACTAGCTTCAGAAGAGGGTTTCTGGAGTTCCACCCTTGGACAGAGCTCCTGGGTGGTGGGGATGCTGCTGGGGATGCTGCTCCCCAGGGCAGAGGGTCCTCTGACAGCACCCTGGAGAGGCCTCTGCAGGCAGCTTGGTACTGGAAGCCTCTCACCCTTGCTGCCCCCTCCGCTGCCTCCATTGAGCCTGCCCCTGGAGCAGGTGGACTTCAGCCGGGTCAGAATTCCTAATGAGGCACATGGAAGCCCCTCCAGGGGGTGGCCCGGCCTCCCACCCCTACTCGAGTTAAGGGATGACTCTGCCTTTACAGACAGTGGCCTAAGCCTGGCCTTTCCAGAAGGAGAGGGGTGAGGCCGGACCTGCCAGGTTCTGCTCTCTTCTGGCTCGGAATAACGCTTACCAGGTCCCGGCACTCCTGTTGGTTTTCTCAGCCGTGGTACATAGTGGTGGCTGTGTTGGGGCCTCACACAGAACCCGGGGGCCTGATTTGGTCTTTTGCAACCTCCGATGCCTGCCTGAGCCTCAGGACCCTCAGGCTTCCCGCCACCCCGCACGGCCTTTCCTCTCAGGATCCCGGGGCACCCTGGTCACTCCACCCCAGCTGCAGCCCCAGGGGAAGCAGGGCATGTCCAGGCTGTGGGGACACAGCTGGGTTGAAGTCCCAGACCTCCCTGAGCCTGTTTCCCCTTGTGGAATGGGGATGGTCTTTGCTGCCGAGCGTGTTGTTTGTGGTGAACTATGCCCAGCTCTTTGTGATAGGCCCTCACCACAAAGCCACTGTCACAGTTACAATGATCAGGAGCCTTCCGTGGTCTGAAGGCAGGGCTGACGTGTGCACAGTGTCAAATGGGCAGTGTTCAGTGCTGGGGGGTTTCAGGCAAGGGCTGGCCAGGGCAGGCTTCTGGGAGGAGGCAGGTGACAGTGACCTCACTTGCCGACCTTCCTTGGGGACCTACGCTAAGTCTGGGGCATTGCCTTCCGCCTAGCATCTGTGGCTGGAACTGCTCATGGGGTCCTTGGCCACACCCTCTGGGGCTGGGGTGGGCTCAGAAACGCTCCAGGCCCTGGGCTTAGCCTGGTAGGAGGGCTTCATTGGCCCAGAGGAGCCCACGTGGTGATGGTGTTAGCTTTGGCCTCTTAGCAGGACATTTGCAGGTATTCCCAAGTGCCCTGATGCCCGCAGTGCTGGATAGCACAGGTTTTGGAGAGGCAGGGGCACAGAGAAAGGACCCTGGATCTGGAGCCGGCAGCGGGGGTTTGGGTGGGGCTGGCTGCTGGTGCCTGCAGTTCTCCATGGTCACGTCATCAGTGTCGTGGTCTGTGCAATGGGCATGCTGGGAATCTCCTCCAGATGAAGACTTACAGGCTCCTGGCTTGCAGTGGATGGGGAATCCCGCGTAGGGGCCTCGGAGTGGGCAGATCCCTCCCTGGCCGACCTGTGTGGGGCGGTGGGCGGTGTCGGGTGGCCTCCCTGGCAGAGCCGGCCCGGGGCCCAGCTGCCCGTCATCTTGTTGATGTTTTCTTTTTGTCTCTGATGCTTCCCCGCTCAATTATTTACCCAGGGAATTTGGGCTTCTTCACTTGTGGTTTTGGCAAGGGCTTCACATAAATGTTTTGCCCTGGTGGTCTCTTAGCCATTTAAGATAAACGGCCAAATCAAACGCAGGCCTTGCCGGGGAGCCGAGGCGAGCCGTGGGGCTGGGCGGAGGCCAGGCAGGCCCTTGGCCCTGTGTCGTGGCTGTCAGACCCGGGGGAGGCACTTACAGGGTGCTAGGGTTTTCTTGGGGGGTTGTTCAGAGCCTTCTGAAAGGCCTTGGGGCTTGGGTGCTACATGCTCAGTGCTCAGGTCGCTGAGGTGGACTGTGGGCTGGAGAGAGGCACCAGTGGGCCATCAGCCAGGCTGGAGGTTAGCCAGTGCCCAGGTGCTCAGAGGTGGAGGTGTCCGAGGCCTGTGCAGACAGCCCGTCCTGATGGAGCAAACAGTGGTGGCTCGGAGCTTCCCGGCTCTTCCAGAGGGGGGTGGCCCAGATATTTGGGAACAAATCCCTAAATGGAGTCTGCTCCAGAACACTCCAGAAACCCTCACATGGAGATGACTTTGTGGGAGCCGGGGCCCTGACAGCCCTCGTTTGCCCCAGCCCCTTGCCTTAGGCCCCTCAGGGATGGGAGTCTAGCCCCAAGACAGCCCCATCTGGCAGCTGTGGAAGTAGGACCCCCTCAGGCTCCTGCCCGCTTCCCTGGCCCCAGCCCCTGTCTGTGTCCTGGTTGCCTTCCCTGCGGGGCCTGGCACCCCTGGGCCTTCCACCCTGGAAGGGTGGCCTGCAGCCCTCTGCCCTGGGCCCCTGTTCTGCACCCTGAGCCCCTTGTACAGTCTAGGGTCCGACTGACCAGTCTTTTCTATTGTTTTTTCTCCAGGGCCGTGCAGGCCTGCCCAGCTGCCAGCGATGGCCCCCATAGCTGCCTCCTCCTCCCACCCTCACGCATCCGTGATTACTTCACCTCTGCGCGCCCTGGGCGCTCTGCCGCCCTGCCTCCCCCTGCCGTGCTGCAGCGCGCGCCCTGTCTCGGGTGACGGGACTCAGGGTGAGGGTCAGACGGAGGCTCCCTTTGGATGCCAGTGTCAGTTGTCAGGTAACAGACGGCCGCGGTGGGGGGTGGGCTCCCGTGGATGGTGGGGTGTGCCCTGGGCAGAGCTGGCGGCTGCCTCTCCCAGGTGGGCTGGGGCAAGGTGGGGACCCAGGGATGACGTGTTCCCCCACCCCAAAAGGCATTTTTGGGGGGCGCAAGAGGACGTGGTGAAGGTTGTCAACAGAACTGTACACCGGTGCCCTGGTCCCCATCCGTCCGGAGGTCCCCCTGCCCCTCCGCCCATTCTGAGTCTCACTCCCAGGATGCGTTCCCCCAGCCTCCAAATTTCGTCTCTTTGAGCTGTTTAGCTAAAACTTAATTGGATAACGCTTAACATCTGAGGTTTTCTTCTGCCCTCGCCACTGCCACCCGCTCTTCCCCGCCCCAGCCACCACCCCCCACCCGCAAGACATGGCTAGGAGAAGATTCCTTGGTTGTCTGTGTGCATCGTTGGAGCCGTCCAAAATGCTGAGTTTCTCTGGGAGAATGTGTTGCCCATTAACTTGAAGAAAAAAAAGTCCCTCTAAAGGAGCCTTTTAGCTGTGGCCACCCCAGGGAGTCAAACCTTGTGGGGTATGTTTGGGGGTAGGGGCAGGGGGCGGGGCCGTGCAGCCTACCCCAGGGGCTGAACACCTACTGTGCGCCTGGCACCAGGTTGGTGCGGCTGCCCATTATACAGTTGGGCAGACACGAGGAGTGCGGTGACACAGTCTGTCCTCCATTACGTCCCTCCTCTGTCCCCAAACAAAACCCAAACTCCTGCTCTGGCCTGGGGTCCCTGGAATGTGCGGGCAGGGGCCTTTCATCCCAGCCCCTCCTGCCCAGTATCTCGGCAGGGCCTGGTGTGAAACGCACTGAGGCTGCAGGAGCTGAGATGCTGCCGCACACAGGTGGTGGTGAGCACCCTGTGGTCTGGTTTCTGGGCAGGGGCCCGGAAAAGAGAGAGGGTGGGTGCAGAGCTGGGCAGATTCAGTTTGTCCCAGCTTGGTCATCAGGCTTTCTCTTGACTTCGGTAGTGAAAGGAAAACTATTTGTATTGGGCAGGTTTTGCTTTTAATTGAAGCTGTCCCAAGGGACGGTCGCTGTTGGAGCCACAGCTCTGCAGAGGGCCACAGGAGGCCCCAGCTCCAGGGTGAAGAGCCCCCTGGGCCTTCCTGCTGGTGGGCTGGCCTGCCCTGCAGCCTTCAGCACCCCTGCTATGACAGATGGTGACGTCATAGGTCCTGGGCTTATGCCGTGAACGTACAAAGCAAAGACTAAAATTGCCCAGGAAGGAGTTGGCGCCACTTGCAGAGAAGCCGGCCCCCTGTCCCGGGCCGGCCTGGTGCCCAGGGTGGTTGGGGCTTGCGTCGCGGCTCCCTGGGTCTGTGCTGTGATCCCTGCTGGCTGAGGGAGGGATGCCTGCTCCGTCTGGGCGGCTGCCCTGCTCCTATGGCTTCCTGTAATTAGTGCTGCAGTCCTCGCAGCCATTCGGGGGGCCGAGCTATCAAAGATCAGCCTGAGTGTTTATGACTGGACTCGGTCAAGTTCTGCGGTGCAGAAACACGATCTCCCTGGCAGAGGGAGACGGCTTAACCCTCTGTTGGCTCTGGCTGTGCTTAGAAGCTACCGTGCTGAGCGGAGCTGTTGCATTCCCATTTTGCAGATGGGGAAGTAAAAGCTCGAGGAGGGTGAGTGGCTCATGGAACTGGGATTTGTCATCAGGATGCCTCCTGACGAGACCACCCCTTTTCCCACTGAGCCACATGCCTCTGCCTACATCGGTGGGGGGACAGTCCCACCTCTGGGCTCTGGAGCAGCTCCTCACAGACCCGCTCTCAGCCACATTGCTCCCGCTTCCTTCTAGGCACTGTGTACTGAGAGCCCACTGTGTGCTGTCTTGTGCTAGGCACTTGTGTGCATTCTTGAATTTAATCCTCACAGCAGCCTTAGGAGGGAGGTTTACTCTCCCCACTTTACAGATGAGAACATGAGGCTCAGAGACAGTGAGGTCTCACAGGTCACTTTCATTCATTTGCTCATTCATTCATTCATTCTTTCACTAACAGCCGTTTCTCGGGCACCTGTTTTGTAGGCAGGGAGCAAACCAAGGGGGAGGCAGGCGCAGTGGATCCCTGTCCTCCTGAAGCTTGCAGTCTGTGGGGGTGGGGAGGAGCGGGAATGGGGACCTGCAGAGTGGACGCTTTGAAGGGGACAGAGGAGCGGAGGTGGGATTTGGTCCTGGGCTGGTGATCCAGCGCCTGCTTCATCTTGGGCGTTGGCTCAGCCTTCTTGGACTTTAGAACCTGATGCCACGAGGGCTCAGAGCCCGTGAGCAGCCCCCACATTTGATGGCAGGGCCGGGGAGGGGAGTGAGGCGGGGCGGTCTGTTCCTGGGGTCCCTGGGACCTCTCCTCGTGACCCTCCTCGGGGGCCTGCTCTCAGCCTCTGATGCTCTGCCCTGATTTCCAGCACTGTTCCCTTTCATCGTTGGTCCCCATTAATTAGCCTGCGCCAGGTTGCGCTGCCATATTTTTTGATCAATTTCAATACCTGAAAATATCCTATTCCAGTGGTTTTTGTCCCTTTGTGGCTTCTGTCCCTGGCACTGGGCTGTTTGCTTAAGTGTTTTTAGTGCTTGTTTAATCAGTAGTTGGAATGGAGTCATTACATTCCCGGTAACCCGTTAGGAAGAAGCAGTCCTCTGTAAGGAAGGAAAGGGGCTGCCGTCCTTACTCTGTGCTGTCCCTTTTCGGATCAGGATGCACTGAACCCACCTCTTCAAATTAATACGGAAAACCCCGATGTAACCGTGTTTCACGCAGATTAATTGCATGCCGGTGAACGCATTCAGTTATTTATAGAAGGGTGTGATTTTATGGGGGAGAGAACCACACAGGTATGAGTGTTTGTGGACCTCTTGGCTGGCAGCATCCCAAACAGCCCTGCCTCCCAGGACCCCAACCCCAGACCTTCTGATGGTCACAGTGGGAGGAAGGACGTGGGGTATCCGTTGCTTTTTGACTCTGCTGAAATAATGCGGGGCTTTGAGCCTGGGCGTTCCTGGAAACTGAAGTTTCTTCCCTGAGAAATTCCACGTGGGAACTTCTCCAAGGTGCCCGTGGAGTCAAGAGGCTCAGGCTGTGGTCCTGGCCGTTATTCCCAACTGGCCAGTGACCTTGAATAAGTCATTCCCCCTCTATGGGGCTCAGTTTCCCCTTCTGTAAAAAAAAAAATATATACATACACACACATACATATATATCTGATATATATGTAACATTTAAAGATGAGGCTCCTCATATTGGTCTCTGAAGTGGATCATATTGATCTGTTTCGATTGCTGAGATGCTATGGATGACTGGGCATGGGGCTTGGCTAGGGTTCCCAGGGCGGGGGTGGGGTGTTCAGAGAACAGTTTGAAAACCATTGGGCTTTGGCGCCCCCAAACCCTTTCTGATTCTGTGGTTTCCACGACTGGGAGGCAGTCCTGAGTGTATCAGACTCCCAGAGGGAAGGCTGCTCTGTCCTGGATGGCTGTGTGACCTTGGATGAGTCATTTCCTACCCTCTTCCTCAGTTTCCCCACCTATAAAATGGGAGTGATGACAGTACATGCTTTGAAGGATTGTTCTGAGGACTGAGTGGGGTCACAGACGCCAGGTGCTGAGAATAACTCCTCACGCTGAGCAAGCCCTTTAGAAGTTATGACTCACGCGTGAAACACATAAGCTCACATGGTGACGTGGTGGGCACCGTGTGGAATCTGACTTCAAGCCGATCCCCAGTCTCCATTCTTAAAGGCATTTAGCGTCTTGGCTGGCTCAGATCATGTACCAGCCTTGGGAAGTGGAAAGGGAACCGAGAAACTTCATTGCATATTTAAAAGCCGCAAACGGTCATCAGCCACAGTGATTAATACATGTGCTCGGTGAAGTTCAAGGTCTCACACAACAGCACGCAGGATCCCAGCTCGGAGAAGTGGAAGTGTTTGGATTTAATAGAAGGAGTCAGTTGTAGTCATTGGTATATGCTGAAATCACAGGGCAATCTTGTAAAGTTAAATTCAATTTACTTTTCTACTGAAATGGTGCTTGCTGTGTTATTTAACTAGTCTGGGGTTTCTTGGCATGGGTTAAAGGGACAGTAAAGATAAAAGAATACCTGTAAGTAAATAGTAGGTTTAACAGTAGAATCTATCGTTTTCCCCTCCTTCAATTATATCCCAGTGTTCATTTTGTGTTGGTTTTTATAACCAGGGCCATCCAATGGGACGCTGTGGATTAGACCACCCGAGCTGTGGAAGCTTGATGCAATTAATACAGTCTGTCTGGAAAGTGGCCTTATTTCTGGAAGTTTTATGTTAATGATATGGTCTGTGCTTTGCACATTTCATACCAGAACAAGAAGCAAGCTGTAGTTTCATTCTGGACTGGGTTTGATTAACACCGAGAATCAGTGGGAAGGCAAAGGGCGATGCGGACCAAGATGGCAGCGCCTGCCAGGCCCCCGCGGGCGCACTGCCTCGATTCTGGTGCAGGGGGTGCAGAGGGGCGTGAGAGCCTCCACTGAGACTCTGGAGGGAGGGGTGAGTATAGGGGTGGGGGAAAAGGGAAGCGAGCGTGGGTGAGCGTGTGTGGACAGAAGTGCTCCATCGGGGGAAGGTTTGAGGCGTGCTCTTTGCGATTCCCTTTGCAAAAGGTGCATTTGTTGTAGGGTCTTGCTGGGCTAACCAGGTCCCAGTGTCCATGGGGGTGACTCACTGTAGAAAAAAGGCTCTCAGGGGAGTTATGAAAAATTTAAAGGGTCATTTGTACGCCTTGCGTCTGCATCGCTGATGGGGCTGGTGGTCCAGCATTTCCAGCCGGTTGGCGACTCGTGCCTGCTAGTTTGTGGATTCTACTCTGGTGTCTGCCTGCTTCTTGGGATCACACCACTGCAGAGCCTGCCCTTGCTCGTCTGCCTTTAGCATCCAGATGCCTCCTTCCGTAACGGGAGGCAGTGCCAGGAGAAGCCAGGGAGAGA